TGTGTGTCTGTGGAGACTGTATGTCTGTGTGTGTCTGTGCAGACTGTAAGTCTGTGTGTGTCTGTGGAGACTGTGTGTCTGTGGAGACTGTATGTCTTTGTGTATCTGTGGAGACTGTATATCTGTGTGTGTGTCTGTGCAGACTGTATGTCTGTGTGTGTCTGTGGAGACTGTATGTCTGTGTGTGTCTGTGGAGACTGTGTGTCTGTGGAGACTGTATGTCTCTGTGTGTGTCTGTACACACTGTGTATCTGTGCAGACTGTATTTGAAGAACAGGATCTGGTTTTACACAAGGATCAGTGACACTCCTTTGGACAGTTCACAGGCCTGTGCTTCAGGGACACTGACCACGAGTTGCTGGAGGCAAGGTTGCTATAATCTGATGACCAGAGACTGAGCTTCATCTTTCGGGCACTGGGTCTTCTGAACAGGAGGGTTTGCTGTGGTGAAGGGTTTCCTAACAGAGGCAAGAAACAGGAGCCTGGGTGGTGCCAGTGGTTTGCAATCAGCTGCCAATCTAAAGGTTGGTGATTTAAGCCCACCCAGCGGCTCTGGGGAGGAAAGGGCTAGTGAGCTGCTTTCCCAGAATTATAGCCAAAAAAACCCTGTGGAGCAGTTGTCCTCTGTACCTCGGGCTCGCCTTGAGCTGGGGGCTGCTGGATGGAAATTAACAACAACAACTAGTAATAAAATAGCTACAGAGCTGAGGACTGGCCCAAGTCCACTGACCACTGCTTTAGTACCTTCACCCTTCACCTTCCTCACTACTAAGGGTACTCTTCTCCATCCAGAGCCCCAGGTGGGGCCTTTAAAGGGAGAAAGACAGGAACGGGAAAGATCATCTGTAGTTCCCACTAACATAAGCAGATGCTATCCTGGGGCACCACACAGGACGGCCTCCAAGAAATGAGTCGTTTGGGCAAAGTATAGAAGCAGAGAATACTGGGCAGGGTGATCAGGGACCCCAAGGAGTCAGGAGCTCCATCGTCTTCTTGTGGGCCAGTTCTGTGTCCCTAAATATCAGGGCAGTTCGGAAACCCTGTACAGGGTCGCTATGGGTCGGAACCGACTCGACGGCACTTAACAACAACAACTGAACCTCAGGCTTCGAGTCCTGAATCCTGAATCTGGGTGTGGGGTGTGGTGGGGCTGGACAGCAGGCGTTCCAAGCAGAGATCATTCTCTTCTCCAGACCCCTGGCTCCCTGCAGCCCAGAGTCGGCCAAGGAGCCCCACAGAGCCCCTCCCTTTCTCTAAGCAGCTCACTGAGACTACTGGAAGTAGCTCAGCCCCCCCAAAACCAGAGTGCCTGCTCCCCCACTTACCACCCTCCCTGGCTCCCTTGTTTCTACACATTGGGATTCCTTCCCACCAACGCAGGGCCGCGGCGGCCAGATGTCTCCTCGTTGCAAACCCTGGAGAATGGGCATGTGTCTGTGACTGCCAACAAAAATGTTTAATCAGTTGCTGCGGTTCTTCCCATTTATCCCCCTGCTTTGGTTTTATTGGCTTTTGTAGAATTTATTACCCAGCGTTAATTTGGCATTCCTTTCCTGTCAGTGCCGGAGACAAGCCACCTGAAACAGACAAGCCCCTGTGTACAGGAATCACAGCCTCAGAGCTTCCCCCCCCCCCAGCCCCCAAACTGGAGAAGGGAAGGGGGCTTCTCACGGGCTCATGGGGGTGCAGCTGGGGCAGCAGAGACCAGGAGAATGATTCAAGAGAATGATCCCTTACCTTGGATCTTACCCAAAACTGTATGGGTGGGGTGGAGCCATCAACAGAGAATCAGAAAAGTACCGTCACCCCACTACACCCTGGCCAGAGTGAATGGAGGTGCTGATACACAAAGATCTGCTGACAGGGTAGCCCCACCATGGGTGGGTTTCCATGACCTCATAGGGTGTCTAGGAGAGACAAGCTTTAGAACCTTGGGTTTTCAGCCCTGACCCCAGCCTGCTGTTGTTAAGGGCCATGGAGATGGTTCTGACTCATAGTTGCCCTGTATAGAGTTTTCAAAGAGCAGCTAGTGGGTTTGAACCACTTACCTAGTGGTTAGCAGTCCAGCACTTATCCGACAGTACCACACCAAGACTCTGCTCTGGCCTAGACAGTTTGGCAATGTCTCAGCAGGATGGCTGGAGCACCTCTAGTGGGAAGGGTCCAAGATGCTAAATATTCCAGAGAGTGGGCTGGGCCTGCATAGTTGCTCACCAGAAATGCCAGTGATAATCATAATAATGGGGAGGGGATGGCCCCCTAGAATAAGCACTGGGCCACAAGGTCCACCAGCTGTTCTGTGGGAGAAAGATGAGGCTTTCTGCTCCCGTGAAGATGTAAAGTTCTGGAAACCCTATACAGGGTCGCAGTGAGTCGGAACCTATCCGACAGCACTTAACAACAACAATAGTAAAATAGGTTGCTGCCAAGTTAATTATAACTTATAGCAGACCCATGGGTTTTCAGTGGCTTTTAGAAGTAGATTGCCAGGTTTTCCTTCTGAAACATCAACCTTTATATTAGATGTTGTTAAGTGCCATTGAGTAGGTTCTGACTTATAGTGACCCTGTATAGGGTTTCTGAGGAGCAGCTGGTGGGTTTAAATTGCCAACCTTGTGATTTGCAGTCAAAGTGCTGATCCTACAGCATCACACCAGGAGTCTTATGTTAGTAGCCAAGTGCTTACCTGCCTGTGCTACTTCTTGTTGTTAAGTGCCGTCGGGTTGGTTCTGACTCATAGCAATCCTGTATAAGGGTTTCCAAGGAAGGACTGGTGAGTTTGAACCACTGACCCTGTGGTTCAGCTCGACCTTGTAGTTGAGTGCTTATCCTACAGCGCCACACCAGGACTCGCTGTGCTACTTAAGGGCTCTGGAAATGCCAGCCGTTTTGCCGCATGATAAGCACACTGCACAGACTGGGACAGCAGCCCAGAGTTAAATGACCAGTATGGTCAAAACTGGGCCCAGGGATTTGGACTTGTAACCCAGTGTCTCCCCTCTGTGGTGCAGTCCTGGCACCCAAGCATCTAGGGGAAAGACCAGGGGCTAGGAACTGAGAAACTCATGGTCTGACCCAGTGGTACCTCTGAACCCCAGATTCAGGACTTGTGCTCTCTCCTCATCTGGGGAGAAAGGAATGTGACCCCTCTAGGTCCCAGGGCTGAGAGAGGGGGGGTCCACTCTGAGCCGGGCCTGATGGGTATTATTTCAGTCACTCCAGGAAGGTCTGGTTCTCTCTCCCTCCTAAAACGTGGAGGCCTTAGAGTTGTGCTGAGCAATTCTCTATCTCTCAGGGTGAGTCAGAAGATGGGCAGTAAATTTTAGAGGTTAGAAAACTGAGGAGGAGATCTATCAAGGGTCCATGGGAATGACCACAGGGCTGGATTCAGTCCTTGCCCTCATGCTTTGCCTCTTCAAATCTCT